CCAAAAAAAAAAAAAAAGAGTGTTTTACGCTTCATGAACATTTGATGTAAGTTGCTGTAAGAAGCCGTTGGAATGTTTAAATCAGAATTACTGTCAAAATCTGACTTTGAGAACGATGTGGTACTCCTTCCAGAATGAGTCAGACTGCATTGTGGAGATTCTTAGCATTGTCAGTTTAAACACTGGAAAGATTTTGTCTGTATTAGTAGTTAGACTTTATGAAGAACTCTAAAGTGGCTTTAATGTTATAAATCTGTGTATTATAACAATGTAATAGAACTGTTGTTTGTACATTTTCTAGCTTAGTAAAAGTTGTTGCTAGGTGAGTAGGAATATATTTTTCACTTGTCCTGATGAATAAATTAGCTCTTATTTTATTTTGCCCTTTACTACTCTTGTATTCTTTAGGTACTTTGACTGCTGTGGAAAGTTTCCTGACTATAAATTCAGGACCTGAGGTTAGTTTTTCTGTTTAAGTATTCAGTTTTTAAGTTAATGCTAAAACCATTCTTTTAAGTTTCAGCAATGATTTATTTTAATAATAATGGATAAAGTAGAAAGGAAGATGGGAAAAAAGAAATATTTCTTGCTTCTTGTGCACAAAATCAGAGTTAAAGACTCCCTGAAACCTTTTAGAAGTAATGTATGTCTCTTAAAAAGATTTAAAGTAAGGTGCTGGTGGCTCACACCAATAATCCTAACTCAGGAGGCTGAAGTCTGAAAAATACCAATTTGAATCCAGACTAGGCAGGAAAGTCCTTGAGACTCATAATTAACCACCCAAAGTGAGAAGTAGTAGAGTGCTAGCCTTGAGTCAAAAGCTCCATTCATGGACAGCACCCAAGTCCTGAATTCAAGGCCCAGCACTGGCACCAAAAAAAAGTTGTCCTTCACACCAGGCACTGGTACCTCACTTCTGTAATCCTTCCTACTGAGGAGGCTGAGATCTGACCATCATGGTTCAAAGCCAGTTGGGGTAGACAAATCTGTGAGATTCTTACCTTCTATAGCAAAAAGCTGAAAATGGCACTGTGCTTCAGTGCTAGTAGTAGAGCACTACTAGCCTTAAGCAAAAAAGCCAAGGGACAGCACCCATACCCAGAGTTCAAGCCCCAGTAGCAGCACCAAAAGAAAAAAATACATTTAGGTTAATTAAATTTTATGTGTATAATTTTTAGTTTGTGGAAGTTGCTGTTTCACCCTGGGTTTAAACAAGGCATCATGCTCTTGCTTAGCTCTGCTGCTCATTCTCTGCCGCTTGAGCCAGGCCTCCAGTTCCAACTTTTTGGTAGTTAATTGCGTGTAAGAGTCTCACGGATTTAGATGTCAGGGCTGCCCTCCTGAGTAGCTAGGATTACAGGTATGACCACTCACCTGTGTTTTTAATTTTCAAAATTCAAGATAGCAAGTTATTTTGACTAAAAATGTATTTTGAAAACAATTGTACAGCTTACTATGTTAGAAATGACTGTGATTCCAACACTAAAGCTTCTGTCATTACTATGTAATACGATGTGTTAGTCAAAAAAACTGTCATCTTAGTATATTTTTCTTGGAATTAGTTCCTGTTCTAACCATAAAAGAAATGTTTGAGGTAAATCTCATTTAACTGAATTTACAGCTTATTTGAGAACATAGTTGCATTCTGGAAAACACTACAACTTCTGTTGCCAGTAGTGCCACCCAAATATGGGTTGGGCTTCCGAAGTCTGTTCTCTTTAACATGCATTCGTCCGTCAATGTGGTCGAGCCAGGTGGAAGTTCAAGATAACGTGGCCCATGGTGAGGATAGAGGAGGTGGTGTCAGGAGGTGGTCTGATGAAACTGCAGGTTTCTGAGGACGTCAGAGAGGCCGGGAGGAGCAGTTTTGGTGGTGCTGGGATGGGCACTGGCTTTCCAGGTTGAGCAGCTGTAACTTGAAAATTTGAAATCTGAAACTTGTGAGCATCGGCATAATGCTCAAAAAGTTTTGGATTTTTAGCTGGGTATAGCGCTTACACGCCTTTGGCATTGGGAGGCTGAAGTGGAAGCCAGCCAAGGCCATGTATAGCAAGACTCTGTTTGTCCCCATTCCATTACCACTACCAAAACAAAAAGAACCCAGTTTTCTGTCTTAGAGTACTTTTAGATCTGAGGTGCTCAGCTGGTAAAACCTAGGATCCAAAGTCCAAAGAACACACGAAATGCGCAGCGCTGGCTCCATGCGCCTCAGGTGAGGGGCACGCTGCTTGCAGTGACAGAGACACAAATGGGACATGGGGTGGAGCAAGGATTCTGTTCAGCTGGATTATGGGTTCGGATTAACACAGAAGCTATGCAACAATTGCTGACATTGGGTCCTGCGGCCTAGAATACCAGGTACATGAAGGGAAGATACTGGAGAACTGGTTTCCAAACCAGCCCTGGGCAAAGAAGTTAGGGAGATGCAATCTCAAAAAGCAAGCTGGCGTGGTATGTGTGCTTGTTATACCAACAACTCTGGGGATAGAGGTAGGAAGGTCACAATCTGCAGCTAGCCCCTGGGAAAATGGGGAGATCCTATGTGCAAACAGACTGCAGGTCTGCAGGTAAATAGGATGCTGGATTTGATGTTCCATGATGCTGTTAGAACTTTTTCCCCCCTCTTTTGCTGTCTACTTGATTTTCTTTTTCTCATTTCTTCTGTTTTCCTCTGTGTAGGCTCTCATAGTATTGGTAGTCCCGTATATGTTACATGATTTCCTGCAAAGATGTATGACTTACAGATCATAATGCTAGCAAAAATTAGTCAGATTCTGAACCATTTAGTCACTCTAGAGCCAGCCAGTGTTACAAAGGGTAATGCAGTAATTGCGTTGCCTGATGACTGATTTAAAGATAGGGTTTTTAACTAGGATATCATAAAGATTGCACATCCATGTTCATTGCTGCACTCTTCACAATAGCCAAGCCATGGAAAATTATAAATTATATTAGTGAATTAAATGTCTTATAAAAGTATTGTTAAGAAAACTCAAGCTCTCTCTGCTTTCTCTCTCTGCTCTCTCTCTCTGCTCTCTCTCTCTGCTCTCTCTCTGCTGTCTCTCTGCTTTCTCTCTGCTCTCTCTCTGCTCATTCTCTGCTCTTTTCCAGCTCTTTCTCAGCTCTTTCCTTCTCCTCTCTTTCCCAGCTCCCTTCTCTTTTCTGGCTCTCTCTCTGCTCTTTTCTAGATCTTCTCTAGCTCTTCTCTTTTCTAGCTATTTTCTCTCTTTTCTAGCTCTCACTTAGCTCTTTTCCCCAGCTCTCTCTCTTTCCCAGCTCTCCCAGCTCTCTTTCCCAGGCCTTTCCCCACTGCGTGGAGGACCAAGATGGCCTGGTGCCAGCCTGAACGATGAATAAACCTACCCCTTACCTAAAAAAAAAAAAAAAAAGAAAACTCAAGTGTGGGCTGGGAAGGTGGCTCAGTGGTAGAGCGCTTGCCTTGCATGCATGAGGCCCTGGGTTCGATTCCTCAGCACCACATAAGCAAAAAGGAAAAAGCCAGAAGTGGCGCTGTGGCTCAAGTGGTAGAGCGCTAGCCTTGAGCTGAAGAGCTGAGGGACAGTGCCTAGGCCCACAGTTCAGGCCCCATGACTGGGTGCCCCCCCCAAAAAAAAGAAAACTCAAATGGCCACGAAGGGTAGCAGACTTGAGGCCAACCGGGGAGCTATCTGTGGGACGGGAGACAGGAGAGGGCGCAGTGTGCGCTGCACAGTGCGCTCAGAAAGCAGAAAGCACTTGTGCATTCGTGAATAGTGAACATGACCAAGTGCATGCGTGTTCCTGATGCCCTCCATGTTATTTAATAAGGAATTGTGTGTTGCACAAACAGGTAAAATGCCATTTGTAAGTCAGTGTTATCTTAAGACATGTCCCTTTGTGCTCCATGGTTTTCAGGGGCTGTGTATTCATGATGGCACTTGGAAGTCAGCAATTTATGGTTTCGCAGCTAAGAATAGTTTGAAAAAACTGCGAAATGCATCATGTCTGAAACCTGTCCCAGTCATTGGTCAGAAGTTGAAAAAAAGGTGTGTTGGTTTGAAATCTGTTTTTTAGTATGGAGAGTTTTGTATTAAGTCCAGCATTATTTTCAAAGATAAAATGTCATTAACATAGCCTTCTAAGTATTTTATAATGCCTTCAAGAGTGAATTTCCTATGACATTTCATTGTATTAAAATTAAATGTCTATTACATTTTATGCCACAAAACTACCATCCTAAAATACCATGACCATAGCATGCATTATGTTCATTAGTAGTTCTTGCATGACAACTAGCAAATAGAGGAATGTTGGGTTGCTCTTTTTTTTTTTTTTTCGGTTAGTTGTGGGGCGGGTTGCTCTTTTTTATTATTATTATTTATTTTTATTTTTTGTGCCAGGCCTTGGCGCTATCCCTGAGTGTTTTTGCTCACGGCTAGTTTTCTACCACTTGAGCCATAGCTCCACTTCCAGCTTCCCCTCTCCCCCACCCCACCCCCCACCCCCTGTTTAATTGGAGATAGGAGTCTGATGGACTTTCCTTCCTGGGCTGGCTTTGAACCACAGTGCTCATATTTCAGCTAGGGTAAGGCATCAGCCATTGGTGCCAGGCTCTGGAGTGTTTTTTATTTTTGTGCCTGTCTTGGGGCTTGAATTCAGGGCTTGGGCACCGTCTCTGAGCTCTTTTGCTCAAGGCTAGCACTCTATCACTTTGAGCCACAGCTCCACTTCCAGTTTTCTGGTGGAGATAAGAGACTCAAACGTTCCTGCCTAGGGTGGCTTTGAACCATCATCCTCAAATCTCAGCCTCCTAAATATGTAGGATTATATCCTCAAATCTCAGCCTCTGGAATAGCTAGGATTACAGGTGTGAGCCACCAGTGCCCAGCCAAGTTACTGAGTTTTTAATTTTCAGATTTACCAAGTGGGCCAGTTATAGTGGCACACACTGTAATCACAGCACTCAGGGCAGAGGCAGAAGTATCTTGCGTTTGCTATATAGCAAGATTTTGTTTCAAAGAAATAAAGAGAAGGGAGAGAGGGAAAGAAAAGGAAGGGAAGTGGGAGGGAGGGACAAGAGGGCTGGAGGGAGAGAAGGAAGGAATTTACCAGTTGATGTTGTGATCACTGTAATTGGAAGAAAAACAAGTTTTCATGGGTCTGTTTTGTAGGTGGCCAATATCATTTTGTAAAGAACTCAGCACATACACGATTCCTTTCTGGGGATCTGACACATCTGTTGTGAGGCGGACTCAGCGTTACTTGCATGAATATTTGGAGGAACCACCAGTAAGAACATACATCATTATTTTTATTTATTAATAATCTCTACCTGAATGTAGGTCTTGAGTGTAATATTCTGTATGTTAGTTTCCCTATGTATTTAATGTGGATTTTTTAAATGTTTATGAAACATAAAAACCCTATTTCAGCTCTGGAAATAACAGTCACAAGGGTGGGGAACTTTGCATTAGATGTGCATGTTAGTAGCCATGCCCTGTGATTCATATCTGCTGGCGCAGATTCATCTCAGGAAATCCTGGAGTATCCCTGCCTACAGCTGCTAGAACACTCCTCCTATACCAGATTATAATATTATATATATTACATATAATATATAGTATGCTAAATACTGTACAACATATCATGTCAATGATAATTTATATATGTATTATATATAATTTGACATAAATAATATACCACTCACTCTAGTATCCCATAATGCCTCTGGGATACAGCATAGGCTTTTTTGTGAGGGAGGTGGTCACTCCCACTGCTGAAACCAGAGTGAGCTAATGTCAGGTTAACAGGTGGGGGGCATTTCATCATAGGAGAAGTTTAAACACAGACTCTTCCTTAATGCACTGCTAAAACTCAGA